AAAGAAGCTTGGAGGAGTGTGTCTAATTTCAGCTTCTTGAATTTGAATGTAGACATGGAGTAGAGGTGGAAATGAAAATTTCCTTTTGAATATTTTCTACTTTTGCACTTTACTACAGTCTTAATCTTGTAGGAAGCAGATCTGCGCTAAGGGTAGATTGTTCCTTTACACCAGGAAGAATTCGTAAAAAATCTGACCTTGAGTTTCCTCATCGTGCCAGAGAGAAAACTGCAATATACTGTCAGTTGGCAGCATCAGGAAGTTGGAACTCAGGTGCCCTTTCTTAATGGACATCACGGACTCCTCAGGAAAGGATGTGGCGTGATGAAGCAATTCCTCTTTGAACACAAGATGGCAGCCTTAAATACATGCAGCCCTACACAGCTTTTAATCTTACAGATCATTAAATTCCTAATTTACACATTATGTTTTCGTGGGCCTGCCCATAACTCATTAGTGTTAAACTCATGAGTTGTAAAGATCAGCACATATGACAGGCACTGGTTTCTTTACCTGATTTTTTTTACCTTTGATGGAGCATCACATTGCAACAGGAATGCTGCTCTTTACTTACGAATTCATTCCACTGGAACGTGTCAAGTGTTTGGAAGAGTAGATACAGCTCAGGCATACTCCATTTTGAAATTCAATGGATGATTTTCCTACCTCTATCACACACTAGCAAACAATCCGTTTTATTCAGGAGTTCTCATTTGATTTGCCATCACATTGTAGAGAGTTATTCCCGCCCACTGTCCCTCTCCTGTTTTCTTTGTGAAAAGAATCACCTCCTCTTCTGGACTCCTGGGTCATAATTGACATTTTCTAATTGTTTCTATCATAAACACATAGGAAACATTTATTAAGTTGCAAAAACTTTGTCTTTGCAGGAGGGACATCCTGCTATAGCACATTTTGCTCTAATTTCTCAATGATTGAATGTTATAGAGTCTCCACCAATTTAACATAGTTTGTGGGCACAAAAATGAAGTCTCTGGAGCACAACAAGTATTTTCAAAGTACGAACTACACAATTAAACAGGAAATAACTCTTACAAACTAGGAACATATTTCTATTATTATTATTATTATTATTATTATTATTATTATTATTTAAAACACAACAAGATGAGTCCACAGCAGACTCACTGCTGGCTGTTGTATTGGATTACACGTCGGACACTTCCCAAGTTTCTAGGACTGTGTGATGTATCGGCGAATAATGCATGCAGATCCCAGTAAGGTGGCCTTCTGCAGCTGGCAGATGGTAAGTTTGTCAGCGCCGATTGTGTTTAAGTGCAGGCCAAGGTCTTTAGACACTGCACCCAGTGTGTCGATCACCACTGGGACCACCTTGACTAGCTTGTGCCAGAGTCTTTGCAGTTCGATCTTTAAATCCTCGTATCGTGTCAGCTTATTATTCTTATTATTCAGAGGCAGGATGGCCATCTGTCATGGGTGCTTTGATTGTGCTTTTGCTACATGACAGAAAGAAGATGGTTGAACTAGATGGCCCTTGGGATCAACAGAAGGAGGAGGGAAGGAGGCATCTGGGGAAGGTAACACATGGCACACACAACACAGAGAAGGAAGAAATAATAATAATAATAATAATAATAATAATTATTATTATTATTATTATTATTATTATTATTATTATCATTACCCTGCCACCTTCTCCCCGAAGGGACTCAAGGCGGCTTACAAGTGGGACCAAAATACAGCAAAATAAACCAACTAAAAAGACAATTAAAAACATAATAGCATATCACAATCCAATTAAAACAATTAAAACCACAGCAGGGTATAAAAACATCATTAAAAGTATATCAAACCAAATGGAAGAAAGGAAGGAAGCCCTCCAGAAAGTGCATGAGACAGAAAGGAACACAACATGCTGATCTTTCCTCCTCAATGAGCAAAAGGTAATGGTGGAGCTTTTTCTCAAAGGGGCATTTTGACTCTTCCCACTAATTGCCTAACTGTATAATTTTAAAGCTGAGAATGACGAATACCATCACATTTCAGAATTGGCCATTTTGCCCATCTCTAGCCTGATAATTTGCAAAAAAAGTCACTTGCGAACCAGCTTAGAAAGCATCTGAAAAGATAACCCTTTACAGCGTTCTTTTAACCACTACTGTACACGTGAAGCCTTATATCATGAGATGAACACAGATGAATGCAATTTCTTAAGTGTGTGGTTTAGTAGTATTTAATAAATGTGAAGTAGCTGGTGTGGTGTCAGTTTTCACTTCCAACATCTGTAAAAGGTGAGGGGGAGGTCTTGTACTTTGTACTTGTGCAGCACTTTAAAAGAATATAAACATTTTTGCTTTCTGCAAATTGCCCCTGAGTTTTTACCAAGTGCACACACAAATGGGAGTCATGCACGGTGTCTAGCCAGATTTTCACTGTACCCAGTTCTGGATTTTTTTAAGCATTTGTCTAGTGAATTCAAATGAAGAGTAAAGATGGGAAATAAATGGATGACTCACACATCATGAAAATGCTTCCCTTCTTTCTTAACCACCTGGAACATTTAATTCGTTCTTTGCCTTTAATGTAACATGCGAACCAAAGTTGGGGAAAATTACAACTTCTAGAATTCCTTCTAACCAAGGTGAAAGAAGAAAGTGCAAAAGCTGGTTTGCAGTTAAATATAACAAAAAAAAACCCAAGATTATGGCAACCAGATTGATTGATAACTGGCAAATAGAGGGAGAAAACATGGAGGCAGTGACACACATTGCATTTCTAAGAGCAAAGATTACTGCAGACACAGACTTCAACCAGGAAATCAGAAGACATTTACTTCTTGAGAGGAGAGCAATGACCAATCTCGATAAAATAGTGAAGAGTAGAGACATCTCACTGGCAACAAAGATCCACATAGTTAAAGCAATGGTATTCCCTGTAATAATCTGTGGATGTGAGAGCTGGACCATAAGGAAGGCTGAGCGAAGGTAAATAGATGCTTTTGAATTGTGGTGTTGGAGGACCATTCTGAGAATGCCTTGGACCGCAAGAAGATCTAACCAATCCATACTTCAGGAAATAATACTTTAGCCACATAATGAGAAGACAGAAACGCTAAGATAAGACAACAATGCTGGGGAAAATGTAAGGAAAAAGAAAGAGGGGCCAACAAAGAGCAAAATGGATGGATGGTATCCTTGTAGGAGCTGGGGGTGGCGAGCTCTGGTGTACGCTGGTCCATGAGGTCATGAAGAGTCAGAGGCGACTGAACGAATAAACAACAAGAATTCCTCAGCCTGTATAGCTATTATAGATTATGGTTGGCAAATTCTGGGAATAGAAGGAAAAATAGTAACTTTACCAAACTTCAGTGTGAGTTCTCTCTCTCTCTTACTCACCCTTTTCCACATATACACTTTAATCTCACTTTCATCCAAGGAGCAAATGCACAACCCTGTAAGATAATTCAAGTCATAAGACTGAATTGCTGAAGGCCACCAAAGATGTCTGTGTGCATAGTGGAAATTTAGCAAGCTACACAGGAAACTCTTCCATGGTCACATTATGCACAGCTGGTTAATGTTTTGGAATTTATTTTCAGATAGCCCCTTGTAATTCTTTAATGTGTTCTTTATTTTTCAAGAGCCCATCCAGGCAATGTCTAAAAGTTCATTGACATCAAGAGCAGCCAAAAGTCTTGGGAATATTGAGTGTGAATTCAGGAGTTTTAAGTAAAAGGCAGATCTGCATATTCTATGTAGATTATTTAATATCAAATACAGGGCTAAAAGCCATTGAACTTAAATGGAGTATCCATTCACTGGAGAGGTTTTTCTTCCAAAGACTCATGAAAGATAAACATTTGCAACGCAGAAAGTTGTCCTTCAGCACACTGATAAGGTGGTGCTGAGACTCTGCACTCAAAAAAAGAATCAGCAGTAGCTGCAGAAACAAACAGAGCAGACTTCCTCCCACTAGTGCCTTCCAGATGTGTTGGACTAGAATACATCTGGGGCTCATTCACACAATAGAATAATAGCACTATTATCCCACTGTAGCTGCCATGGTTTCCTCCTATGGAATCCTGGGATTTGCAATTTAGGCAGGAACATTTTGAATTCTCAGCTGGAGAACTCCAGTGCCCCGATAAAGTACAAACCATGGGATTCTGTAGTGAGCCAAATGTTTCAAATCCAATTATCACAGGGACAGAAAATGAGGTGAAATCTTCTGAACAGGAGCACAGACAGCAAAACAAACACCACAGGGGTGTTAACCCTTCCTTATGCTATCCAAAGATAGATAGATAGATAGATAGATAGATAGATAGATAGATAGATAGATAGATAGATAGATAGATAGATAGATAGATAGATAGATAGATAGATACTGTAGACAGACAGATCGATAGATATTTGGCTGGAGTTACACTTAAAAATGTACCTCTTCCCTGCCCCAATTGTCTCTTGCCCTCACTAGACAGTAAAGATTCACTGGGCAAAGATACAACTCTCAATATAAAACTCAATATACAACTCTCAATATAAAACTGCATTATATGGCCAGTGTAGACTCATATAATGCAGGTCAATGCAATTAAAATGTGTTATATGATTCTACACTGACCATTCAAACTACATTATATAGCAATGTAAATTGGGCCCCCATTGCTTGTCCTGACTACTGGTGGGAACTTTTGATTCAGGCAGAAAAGTAGGATTACTAAGGTATAACCTCCATGGAAAGCTAACCAACTCCAAAAGAGCCATTTCAATCTTTTTTGCCCCAAAAGTGGCCCTCCAGATGTTCTTGGGCTGCAATTGTCAGCATTTCTCTCCTTCAGCTAAGTTGGCTGGGGCGACTGGGAATGGGAATCCAACAATACCTGGAAAGCTGCATTTTGCATCATCACCCCCCACCCCTATTCTGCAAGTTGTTTGGAAGCCAACTGGAAAAATGGGGGTCCTGGAAAGAATATTGAAAAATTGTAAAGTAATTTGCCTTGATTTCATTTGTTCTAGATTAAAATTAGCAGAAGATTTTGCTGTGCAGCATGATGAGGGCTATAAAAACAACTACTTCAAGCACAACTTGTCTACACCACACAATTGATGGATGGTGGTGAGACACCAAAGATGTTTCTCATCCAGGGTTGTATTTATCCCAGGTCTACCCCAGTAGGTATGTATTTTTAATATTTAATTTAATCAGGGATTAATTAAAAAGAAATCTGCTGAAAGCTACCCAAAACCTTGAGTGACATAGATATGTTTTAGATGAGGGGTGGCGAATCCTTTTTCTGTCTAGGGTCATTCAGATATTTATAGCATTATTTGTGGGCTATACAAAATTAGAGGGAGAAGAGGTCCCATATAGATAGAGGGGAGGGGAGGGGGCCTTGACCATTGAGAATGGCAGGGGCCTAGGGGAGGAAAGCCATGCTGCGGTAGGAGCCTGGCTGGAGATCATGGCCTTGGAACACCCAACCGGTTCTTGGGGACACCATTGCAATCCAGTCAAAGAGGTGGAAGGAGAGGATGGCTACCAGGCACAGACGGAGAGGGGTACACAGGCAAGGGGGTATCTGGGTGGGCAGCAGTGAGAAGTCTGCCTGGACCAAGGGTCAAGCTCCAACAGGTTGGAGTGCCTCCTTCTAGCCATATTCCCAGAAGAGTCAAGCATTAAGCAATGGAAGAAGGACCAAAGGGAGACCAACAGCTCTCCGAGGCTTATTATGGCTTGTATCGCACAGAGAAGGAGAAGGAGAAAGAGGGATGGGCAGACGTGGACACTGCAGATCCAGACCAAATGACTTCACAGGCCATATACGGCCCATGGGCCAGATGTTTCATGCCCCTGCACCATGACCATCAAATGTGACTGCTGTTGTTTTGTATCAACACTGGACACTTACTTAGGTGATCCTTCGTAGCCTGAGGATGATGGTCATCCAAGTGTAGTGTCTTGGTGGTAAGTCTGTAGGTGGCTGTGTAGCCCTATTCTTGATCCTCATATTCTCCCGCAGTGAGGACATCATTTCCAGGTGGAAGGCGGTCCCAGTCAGGGTTGGCTTGACATGCCTTCCTCTTGGCATGCTTTTCCCTTTCGCCCTCCATTCGTGCCTCCTCAAATTCTGCAGCACTGCTGGTCATACCTGACTTCCAGTTAGAACGTTCAAGGGCCAGGGCTTCCCAGTTCTCGGTATCTATGCCATAGTTTTCAAGGTTGGCTTTAAGCCCATCTTTCAATCTCTTTTCCTGTCCACCAATGTTACATTTCCCATTCTTGAGTTGGGAGTATAGTAACTGCTTTGGAGACAGTGATTGGACATTTGGACAACGTCGTCTGTCCAGTGGAGTTGATGGCATAGGAGCATTGCTTCAGTGCTGGTAGTCTTTGCTTCTTCCAGCATGCTGACATTTGTCCTCCTGTCTTCTAAAGAGATTTGCAGGATTTTTCGGAGGCAACACTGATAGAATTATTCCAGGAGTTCAGTGTGACATCTGTAGACTGTCCATGTTTTGCAGGTGTATAGCAGGGTTGGGAGGACAATAGCTTTATAAACAAGCACCTTGGTCTCCGTATGGATGCCCCAGTCCTCAAACACTCTCTGCTTCATTCAGAAAAATGCTGCATTCGTAGAACTCAGGCAGTGTTGTGTTTCTGTGTCAATGTTGACTTTTGTGGAGAGGTGGCTGCCAAGGTAGCGGGAATGGTCAACATTTTCTAATGTTACACCATTAAGCTGTATTTCTGGCATTGCAGAGGGATTGGCTATGACTTATGGGCAATCTGAAGCATGTCCTCAACCCCCTCTGTACCAAGAGCAGGTAAAAATGTGGCCTTCCATCTGCAGGTTCCATTGCTTTGAGCCTGCATAGCCAATCAGAGTGAATAATAATGATAATGATGATAATGATAATAACAATAACCTTTATTTATAAATTTATACTTTTTAATACTTTCTATTCCAGTCTATCTCACCCCGAAGGGGACTCAGAGAGGCTTACAAGTTTTTGGCAATATTCCATGCCACAATTATACAAAAAAAATCATAAAAATTCTACAAAAATCAAACAATACATACCACAATTAACTGTTAAAATAAATGAGACATATATATCCCACCGTATTGTTATCAAGCAGAAGTGACTCAACTGCAGTCCAAAATAATCTTGTTTTAGGAAGTTTTTGCTGCAATCCAAAATATCTAGAAGGTTGCGTGTGCATACATGCCTTCAAATCACCTGTCAACTTATGGCAACCCCGTTTATTTTATAGAGTTTTATTAAGCAATAAATACTCAGAGGTGTTGAACAAAACAGAAGTGACTTAATTAAAGATGATGTATTTAAAAATGGCATAATTAAAGACTGTATGGCTAAATGAGAGCAGAATTTTGGTTATAGTATAAAATTAGAAAAATTGTGAAAATGTGGCAGAAGGGTTTAAAATTTACATTATCAAATAATCTTAAAGATAATTTCTATAAATTATGTTTATATGGCATTTAACTCCTCCCCCACAAATCAAAAATGTATAAAGGGGAAAATAATACATGTTGGAAATGTGAAGTTCATGAAGGACTTATTACCATATGATGTGGTGGACCTGTAAAAAGGCCAAAAAGTTCTGGTTGCAAACTTATGGAGTAATCCAAGAAATTATTTTTAAAAAATCAACCTCAAGACAGAACTTGCAATATTATGACTACTGGATGATCAAATAAGAATACAGCTTTACATGTTAACAGTAGCAAGAATATTATATGCTCAAAAGCAGAAAACAACAGAGATGCCAACTATAGACAAGTGAGCAGTCAAGATATAAGAAATAATTGAAATGGACAAATTAATAAGTATTGTTGAAGTATAAATCATTATAAAAATTAAATAAATAAATAAATAAATAAATAAATAAATAAATACAGAAAGAAAGAAAGAAAGAAAGAAAGAAAGAAAGAAAGAAAGAAAGAAAGAAAGAAAGAAAGACCTGGTATCTCATGCAAATACTAACCGAGGTGACCTTATTTAGCTTCCATGAATATATAAGATCTGGGTTATTTAGGGTATTTAGGGCTTGTTCTATGTGCTTAGAGGATGAACGTGGGAGAAAATCAGAGTAGAACTCAACTAGACCTCATTTCTGGTATGCAGAAACCAAGTGAAGTCAAGTGACAGTCATAAATAGATGACCTCGGGCTACTTTTGAGGGGGGGGGGGAATCAAATGAGAACCATCTGGAATATAGATTTTAATTCCCATTTAACCTTAATGTGTTTCCTCTCCCACCTGTGAATTAGTGTTTCCAGCTTTTCAGAAAAGCAATATGGGACAACTGAAATTCATGACATTTAGGACTGACAACCAGGAAATAGCTATGAATAAAATTGTGCCCTACCTAAATACTAAATGCAAATATTGATTCCAGTTGACTTAGCCATATGTTTTGCTACAAAATTACCACTTTTTTCATTCATAAATTACATGATGCCACAAACACTACTGCCTTTATGAAAAACCCACACCACAAAAAATGTGATTTTTAGCATCTTGTTCAATGTATAGAAGATTTTCCAGTCCTCAAATGAAGGACATTCCTTATAATAAAAGACACCTGTTAGTCCAAGAAAGACAAGCTTTCTGGATCAAATAAGGGACATATCTTTAAATGGGGAGACACCTGGAAACACGACTGTGAATCCACACAGTCTGGAACTTAAGTCAACCTCCTTCTCATGATAGTAAAATGGGGCGGCCAGCTGAACAAATAGCAGGAATGTGGCTTCTCCTAGACTGAAAATAAACACAAAGGGGTGCTGAAGGAAGGGGGACAAAAGCAACTTGTAATATTTGATGTTTGCAGAAGCTGAGAAATAACTGCTTTTCTGTTTGACAACACCCAGACAGCTTGCAGGGCCTGTGGAAGTTGTAGTCCAAAAAGAAAAGCAAATTTTGACCTCATTGTGAAGGTGCCTTATATTTTGAAAGCAGCTTCTGTACTATTGGCCTTTCAAGCACTCCAAAACAACAAGGTTGGCCACCTCTCTGCTTCGGAGAATGCCTTCCACAGCTTCAAGGAAATTTAGACAAGAGAACCAAAAGAGTCCTCCGTTGCTGTCACTCAGGCAAGACCCACCTCCATAAGCATTTTTGACCAGATTTTTTTTGACAGCACCAGAAACCAGACAGGTATGATGGGCTGAACTGAAACAGGGTTTGCAGTGACAGGGACACTGCTTGGAGCTGTCAGAAGAAAGACATGCTGGCTAGAAGAGGGCAAGTGTGGGAATACAAGGCATTCTGCAGGCAGAGGTCAATGTCACCAAGAGAAAAGAATGGCAAGGAGTGAAACAATGATGCTTCTCACTGTGACAGCAGAAATACCTGGCAGCCACTTCTGTGATTTAGGGAAAGAAGCTTTCATTCATGCCCATCACCTGGAGACATTAAGGCCCAGTTCCAAGTAGAAAGTGACATCTGGGGATGGGGGAAAAATGACCTGTGAGCAATTGAATTTGTGAGTCACCTTTTTAATTAACAAGCCATTTAACCTAGAGATTGGAAATTATCTCAGAAACAATGTCTTCAGCGCAGGCAGCCTATCCCTTCGGAAAGGGTTTCTCTGCAAAACATTATAGCACATTATGGAACAGGAAATTATTTGTTCCAGCGAGGAGCGGAAACAACAGAAGTGGGGGAAATAAAGCCATCGAACCTTCCAAGATTTAAGAAATGGATTCCTGAGCTGGTTTAAGGAGGTCATTATTTTGCGCACTGGAAACATTTGAAAGCGGCAATGTTTTCCTCCTCTGTGGTGAAACAGCTCGTCCTAGTCTGGCAGCGATCTCCTCATAGAAACAGATATGCATAAATTGTTTCTAATGAGACCATCTGCCTTTTATAGCCCCCTTGGAACTAAACAGTACCCAAAGACCACTCTGTCTTGAACAGATCGATGGCCCAAGTGCCTGCTCTTGCCTGTTTAAAAAAATGGAGGAGAAAGTGAATTGGATTTGCTGAGAAGGAGCAGGTTTTGATTACCATCATTCATAATGTTTGGGCTGTGTTAAGGAACAGTTGTGGAGGAAGATGAAATAGGCAAATATCACAGAATCATAATGTTGGGAGGGTCTACAGGGGCCATCTAAACCAATCCCCCAATATGCAGAACACACAACTATAGCATCCCTGTAAGATGCATACCATCATAGAATCACAAAGCCCAATGGTTTTCTGCCCCACAATTCTTTCCAGAGCAGAGTCAGCTTGCTTCTCTTTGCATTAAAAGATGTCTTTCATTCTCATCAAGTGCTCATAAACTGGTTCCTCACAATACAGCCATGCTTACTATGGCCGTCTTTACCATGGGCAATTTCAGTAAACCCAAAGCTTTTCCCAACCTGGAATTTTTCAAATGTAAAACTACAACTCCCATCATACTATAGGCAATCAATCTGGGGATCCACATGGTGTGTGACCATGAGGACATAGGTTAACAAGTTGAAGGCAATCACAACAACAGTTTGTTTGAAATGCCTTTCTCTCGGCATGTTTCTCCTTTTCACCCTCTATTTGTGTCTCTTAAAAATCCATAGTGCCATTGGAAAGAGCTGACCTCCAGTTAGAACACTCAAAAGCCAGGGCTTCCCAGTTCTTGGTGCTTATTCCACATTTTTAAAGGTTAGCTTTAAATCCATTTTTAAAATCTCCTTTATTTATTTATTTATTTAAAACATTTCTATTACACCCTTCTCACCTCTGTGCCGTCCTGCCTGGGGTCTATAGATCTTAGTGAAAGTAATATGGACATGACACCTCTCCCCAGAGGATTGCTTCTTGCCCTCCTTTAGAGAACTGGAACTTCCAAGGACCAAGACACTATAGATAACTCAAAATAGTCTTTATTGTTCAGAATGAGTTATCTTCCTTAGGCACAAACTTGATATTCAAAAGGGATAAAGAAAACATACGTTACAGTCTTTGGAGTCTTGGGTCCAAGGAGTTTTGCAGCTGAGAAGCTTTCCAAGTTCCCTCTTTCTCAATGGCTGTGAAGGCCTGAGCTTTCACAACCCCAGCCCAATGACTTATAATTGAAGGCACAAAGACTTCCCCTTGATGCCAAGAGACTGATTTGAAGGCGCTTAAGATTCCACAACGTTGTCCAGGTGAGCTGGATATGAAGAATGAATCTTAAGAGTACAAACTTAAGAATTGGTGAAGAGAGATGACTTAACTGAGGGCTTTTGAGCTAAACCCTTTCTCATGTCCATCTGCTGGGATATTTGATGGTAGAATGAAAAGAAAGCCCTGACCTCTTCCCCAGGAAGGGGAGGAGCCAAACAATTAAGCAGGGGAGGCAATTCAACAGATGCAAACAACATTGATAGAAAGCAGTAGATAGCCAAACAATTCATATACAAGTGGGGCCTGACACACCGTCACAAATTACAGGGAATTACACCAACGGAGCAGATAGCTCTTTCCAAGATCCTAAGCTGATTCCAACAGAGCCTAGAGTCCAAAGTTAATCCAAAAATACAAATGCCAGAGTCCAAAAGACAGTCCAAAGTTCACGAAGCCAGATATCACTAACAGTCCGAGGTCACATCTCCAAACACTAAAGTTGCTACCAGCAACAAGGTGCCACTCTTGAGCACTTTTTATGCTAGCTTCTCAGGTGTTTCCTTTCTCTTATAACTTGAAGGACTTGCAAAGTTGAATCTTCTGTCTTCACAAGTCTAAAGGAACCAGAACAGTTAACCCTTCCTCCGTCTGCTCAGATGAACTTGCTTGTACTTGCTCTGCAGACTGAGGAGTGGTAACTTCCTCTGCACGGTCTTCTTCCAAGCTCAGCTGAGGATGCTGCTGGCCTTTCAAACAGCACCTCTTCAACTTTGCTATCAAAGCTATCCACAACAACACACTATGTTATCATCAGCATATTGGAGTTCTATAAGAGAACTTGTTATCTCATGTTTGGCTTTCAGCCTGCTCTGGTTAAAGAGCTTGGTCCAAAATGTGATTTTCACACTGGTAGGAAGCTGCCCATCAACAAGGTGTGGAATCATAGCAATGAAGATAGAATATAATGTTGGGGCAATAACTTTGGGAGTCATTGTTGCCCAAGTCTGTTATTATCATGGAGGACTTCACAAATTTATCAAAGCATCTGATTTTCAGGAGGATGGTTCAGAGAGCATTATGATTCACTGTGTTGAAGGTCTTCGCACAAAGATTGATTTTGTTCCCTGCATTTTTTTTAAACTGTTGTGCAGTGGAAATCAAGTCTACTGTTCCCTTGGAGATGTGGAAGCCATTCTGGGATTCAGGGAGGATGTCTTCTGAGACAGGTAGAAGACGGTTTGTGATTATTCTTGTGAGGATTTTTCTGGCAGAGGTTAAAAGGGAGATATCTCAATAGTCTTCACAGTCTGTTCTTTCTCCCTTTTTGTAAAGAGTGATGATAATGGCGGCCTTGAAGCCTGCTGGGATCTTCTCAGTCACCCATACCTTTTCAATAAGCTTGTGAAATTGTGTTAGTTTGGGCCTGCCTTCTTTAAAGATTTCCATAGGGATCCCTTCAGGTCTGCTGGCTTTGTTATTTTTTAGTTGATTGATGGCTTTACTGACTTCCTCCAAAGTAGACACTGCTTCAAGCAGGCAACTCCCATCATACTAATGCACCCACATGGGATTTCGAAGTTTGCCCTTAGGGGGAATTTGAAGGCAGAATGAATTTTTCAAATATTCTTTATTTATTATGAATTCGTAATTGTTTTCCTTTCTAATGTGTTTTTAGTAATGGCAGTCAGCTTGGCTTGAGATGTGTTATGTATACATCCCTTCAAGTTGACTCATGGCAATTCCATAAATTCTATAGGATTTTCTTAGACAAGGAATATTCAGAGGTAGTTTTACCAGTTTCTTTCTTTGAAATGTACCCCAAAGGCACTAGATCTTGTCTGGTCTTAGAAGCTAAGCAGGGTCAGCTGTGATTACTACTTCAATGGGAAACTGCCAATGAATACCAGGTTCTGTAGGCTACATTTCAGAGGAGGGTATTGGCAGAATTCCAGCTGAATATTCCATGCCTAAGAAAAACCCTATGAAATTCCTGGAGTTGCCATAAGTTGACATGTGACCTGAAGGTGTATACACACAGAATAGAAAGAGAGCAAACAAATCCCTACCCCTAAAAATAATGTGGTATAGTAGTTAGTGTTGGACTAGGACTAGGCATACTTGTCTTGTGAGCCCCGCTCAGTCATGAAACCCACTGCAGCAGTCACTCTTTCTTTTGCAAGGTGGTTAAGAGGCAAGGGAGGACCATGTCTTCTGCCTTGAGCATCTCGTGAAAAAATCAGGACATAAAATACATTTTTAGTCATCTACATATAACAGAGCCTCTGATCCCACTACCAGCTCTACTATATTTGTATGGTTATGGGTGCCATTCAGCTTTATTACTACAACAGTTCAACTTGCAATGGGTTCCATGCCAGGCAAAATTCAAAGTACTGGTTTTGTCCTTAAAAGCTTTAAGTAGCTTTGGTCCAGGTCATCTGGCAGACTGGTGAGGCATCCTCACAAGAAGTCCTTTTCTCATTCCCTCCTTTTTCACAGTAATATCTTGTGAAGACCTACAAGACAGGCACCCCAGTGGCTGCCTCAGACCCAAGATTACCCTTTCTGTCCACTTATCAGGAAGCAAAGACTTCTTTACGCCATAGGGGGCTTTTAATAGTATGATGTACTGTTTTCTAATTGTACTATTTTGAATGATGCTGCATTTAAGCTGATTTTTATTATTCTAAATTATATTCTATGTCATAGATTGATTTTCATAATTTAATTCCATTTTAGTATTGACCTTTTGCATGTTTTCACTATGTTGTTTTTAATTCTAAGCCACCTTGATCCTGCTTTCTGGAAAAAAGGTTGGGTATGAATAAAGATTGCCGTCTGTGGTTCATCATGCAGGGTGGAAGCAAAGGAAAGGAGACTCTGAAGAGGAATACAGATTGAAATTCTATGCATCTGGGAAGGCTTTTCAGAGGCTGCAGCATGGATGGAGGTCCACAGCTCTGCGTTGAATTCATTCCTTGCGGCCACACAGTCTATTGTGCTAGCTGAAAGCCACTCCAAAGAAACTGAATGGCACGTCATCCCCCGCACCCCTCCGCTTCCTGCATTGGCAAAAAGAAACCTTGCGCAAGCATTAAAAGGTGTATGAATCATTCATGATAAAATAAAAGCACCGTGTGCCATAGTCAAGAGTTTAGGATTATGATTTTTTAGGGTAACAGAACATGAATGGTACAAACAAATGCAGAGTTTGGAAAAAAGATGCTGTTTGGTAACTCCATGTTGAGAGGTATGGTCCACAAAGGTAACTTTTCCAAGCTCTTACATTTTAATTAAGTCAGATGTGATGACTGTGACATTTCATATTTTGTTCATTCTCATACAATTTCTTAGAAATTATTTTTCTCCACTCTTTCTTGTTCAAAGATGGAACACAGAATATGAATTCTGAAAAAACACGAGCAGCATAATGTTTTGCATGTGAAAGATGTTGTGTGGAAATGGTCACATACATTCCAAAAGACTAAATGCCTAATAATGAATACAATATGCAGAGGGATAATGATCATCTCTTGGCAAGATAGTAAGTGTTGTACATTGACCTTCCACCATCACTATCTCCACCATGGAAGAAAAAATATTTACTGGAGTGTTCCTACTCATGAGTTGTTGTTTGGATAAACATGTCTCTTACATTTTAAACTGCAGACTGTTTGGCTCAAAGCCTGAGAGCAACTATGGTTTAATGGACAAGCACTTGGACTCTGACCAACGAAGCCCAAGTTCAAATCCCTGCTTGCCTTGAGGCTTACTGTCACACTTGGATGAAGGTAGACAGACAGATATACTGTCCTGTAAAATCTTTAGTTTAGATATCTCATCATTCCAACCCAGCACACCCATTGTGTTCAAAATATTTCAAGCCTTTTTCTTCACATGAAACTTGAATTACAAATTGAAAATAAAATTGGGGGGTAAACATTCTGCAAGCCAGCATGGTGCAGTATTTAAGTGTTGGGCTAACGACCTTGTCACAAGGGCTGCCAGAATCTCCACGAATCATGGCAAATCCGGTGACCATCATCATGGGATGTGAGGAACCCATCGCCCTACACCCCATATTGCCCATCTCATGAAGCTGCTTCCATGGGGGGAAGCATCAACCATGTCATGTGGCTTCCTCCATTGCTTCTTGTACAACATGGGAAGCTTCCCGTGTTGCTGCCCTGATTCCATATACTGGCTCCACTCTAGATCCTCAATGGAACCTCACCAAAAGTTTCTGTGCAACATTTGATGGGAGCTGGTGGGATCTGTGGATGGTCTAAGGCTTTACCAGCATATACCACCAGAAAAAGCCCCATCTGATGAGGTGGTAGGACTCTAGAGACCAGTCTTTGAATCCTTGCTCAGTCATAGAAACCCACCAAGTAATCTTCGGCAAATCATATTAGCCTCAGATGAAGACATTGCAAACCCACCTCCAGATGAATCTTGCCAAGAAAACTTTATTATTACATCCGCTGCTAAGTATAATTTTCCCTTTTTCCCTCACCTCATATGCCTCCTGATGCACATCTCAGCAGGGAAATTGGGAGGGACTGCATTCTCCAGCAACTGTCAATCACAGATACTGCGCATTCTGGAACCAGTTTGAGGTCACCTTCCATGGTTAATGATAATCATCTTCCTGGCCTCAAACCTGTTTCAGAACTGTCAATCTAATAATCTGAATAGCGAAACCAGTTTCTGCCAAACCCGTTCTAAACTTACTTAAATATATAAGAGCCCCAGGTGATCTTATAGAGGCCAGACTGATCACACCAGATAATATTGCATCTCATGGTGCCAGAGCACAGTCTGTTCAGTACCTTCCAAGTCGCCCAGTCTTCTGTGTGCCCAGGAGAGAGTCTTTCATTCAGTATCAACCATGGCTTGCAGTTCCAGGTTTTAGCCTGCCACTTTTGGACTTTGGCTTTCTGAGGTGTTCCTGCAATTATCTCTGTAGATCTTAGAAAAACTTTATTGATTTAAGGCATTGGCATGCTGACTGATATCCGAACAGGGAATGAGCCAAAGATGTCACTGCCTTGGTCCTTTCATTATTTATTTATTTATTTATTTATTTATTACTTTACTTGTATACCGCAGTTTCTCAGCCTAACAGGCGACTCAACGCGGTTTACAACAAGAATAAGAATCAACAATGATATACAATATAAAACCACAAAAGCATCATATACAATATTAACACAACAATAGATAACACAATACATCTCATAACTAGAATCATGATCCAATTCGTCATCCAATTTTCCAATTCCTGTAATCATCACATTGATTGCACTGTTTAACCGAATGCCCGTTCAAACATCCAAGTTTTTAATCTTCTTCGGAACACCATCAACGAGGGGGCTGATCTTACCTCCATGGGAAGGGCGTTCCACAGCCGGGGGGCCACCACAGAAAAGGCCCTGTCTCTCGTCCCCGCCAGCCGCACCTGTGAAGCAGGTGGGATAGAGAGCAGGGCCTCCCCAGAAGATCTTAGGGTCCTGGCGGGCTGATAGGCAGAGATACGTTCGGATAGGTAACTTGGGCCAGAACCGTTTAGGGCTTTATAGGCCAACGCCAGCACTTTGAATTGAGCCCGGTAGCAAATCGGCAGCCAGTGGAGCTGGTGCAGCAGAGGAGTTGTATGCTCCCTGCGCTCTGCTCCTGTTAGTATCATGGCTGCTGAGCGTTGGACTAGCTGGAGCTTCCGAGCCGTCTTCAAAGGCAACCCTTTGAGTCGCCTACGGGCTGAGATAGTGCGGTATACAAATAAAGTAAATAAATAATAATAAATAACCCCACGTAGAGAGCGTTGCAGTAGTCTAAACGGGATGTAACTAGAGCGTGGACTACCGTGGCCAAGTCAGACTTCCCAAGGTACTTATTGGTTGCTATGTCCCAGCAGATGTCAGGTGGTACAATACCAGCTAAATAATATAATTTATCCTGTGTTGTAGGGTGTAGACATCCTGTGATAATGTGACTTGTCTCATTAAGAGCCACATCCACTGTTTTAGTGTGGTGAGATGTGTTCCACAATGGGCATGTGTACTCAGCAGCAGAGTAGCAAAGCCCAAGGGAAGATGTCTTCACTGTGTGTGATTGTAATCCCCATGTTGTGTCAGTCAGCTTTTGTATGATATTGTTTCTATCACTCACTTTGAGCCCGAGCGCAGCGGGGAGCCCCGCCTTCACATTGATGTGAACCGCAGCGGAGAGTTCCGCCGTTCCTAGACCAAGTTTTGGGACCAACAGATGGAATGTGCCCCAGCAGCCAGCCCAAAGCCAGGAATGCCTGCAGTTTCTCTTTGCTCTCCCCATCCTTTACTTTGTATCATTTCCCTAATAAAGGTACTTGAAACTTGCAACTTTTCCTCTCTCCCCTTGATACTTTTGTATCTTTCCTGGCTCCTACTGTAACAAACACTAAAATAAACCTTTTTCCGGGCTCCGGAGAGCCATGAGCCCGCGGGAGACGCCTCCGGGCGCTCCCCGGACCCCGAATCTGCGTTCGCCCGGACCGCGGATACGGAAACCGCCATTTCAGACCCCCTTATCCACGAAAATACACAAAATGGCAGATCGCTGCCGTTCCAATTTTATATTTTTCTACAACTAATTTTAAGACTAACTGCTATCTCCTTTTTCTCGTTTTGGGCTCCTTCACCCCGGAAAAATTAGTTTTGTTTCAAGTATTTTATCTTGCAGAGAAACAGCTGATTGTCAAACTGGCCAGGCTTTTCGTTTCCCCTTGGCAGCATTCGCTCCCGCTCGGATCCAGCAGCCCGGGACCCACTGCGGCCACCCGTAGGGGTCCCGGGAAGGTGGCCAGGCGTGGGCCCCGGCCTCTGATTAGGGAAATGTAGTTTCCCAAAGGACATTGCCCCACCAATCACAACCCGGAAACCCTCCTTGGACTCTCTTGTTTGCCCTCTCCTATTGACTTTCTGCTCCACATCCC